CACATTATAACACCCCACGGCTGAAAGGGCGAGCATGTTTGGTGGGATGCGGATTCGAACCCGCGACCCTCAGATTGTGAGTCGAGCGCTTTATCCACCTGGCCATGCCGGGCCGTTGACTAGCTTTCACTGAAATACCACGATCTAGACAAAATGTTTTTGTTATATTATGATCCTTTATTAGCCAAGCGTATATTTCTGAATTCTGAACTAACTTTTAATTCATGTATCTAGCAGTTATAAACATACCGAATGACCTAGCAGCCGGTAAGATAATAGAACTGTCTAGGCGTATCAGAGAACTGACAGCTGAGCTGGAAAGTGAAAAAACGAAATGCAAAACTTTGAAAAACAAGTTGGCAGAAGAAGAAAGCAAAAGAATCTCAGTGGTAAGTAAACAAACTAAAAGTTTGAAAACAAAAAAATCAAGAATTTATCACACACAAACTGCTGTGCATAACAACAACAAAACCCCTAAATGTACGAACATCGTGAAATCTGAAAACTATGGAGAATGTAAGAGGAAAATAATTCGTTTAAATAAATGAGGACTGCATAAATTAGTTTATAATAGAAAATAAATGAGGACTGCATAAATTAGTTTATAATAGAAAATAAATGAGGACTGCATAAATTAGTTTATAATAGAACATAAATGAGGACTGCATAAATTAGTTTATATAGAAAATAAATGACGACTGCATAAATTAGTTTATAATAGAAAATAAATGAGGACTGCATAAATTAGTTTATAATAGAATAATTTATGCAGTCCTCATTTATTTTCTATTATAAACTAATTTATGCAGTCCTCATTTATTTTCTATTATAAACTAATTTATGCAGTCCTCATTTATTTTCTATTATAAACTAATTTATGCAGTCCTCATTTATTGGTTATAATAGATAATAAATGAGGACTGCATAAATTAGTTTATAATAGAAAATAAATGAGGACTGCATAAATTAATTTATAATAGAAAATAAATAAGGACTACATAAATTATTTTATAATAGATAATTAAGAGAAAACAATAATAACTGTGTGACAAACGGATTTGGAAGATCATACAAATTATAGAAAAAAAAAAGAGAGAAATAGTAGTTAAGTAGCCTAAATGGTGTAAAACGTTTTTCTACGTATACAGATATATGTGATTTGTGTACGAAGAGACTGAGCATTACTTTAAATTGTATAACATTATGAGCAATGATTGGCGTAGTCAATTTCCGAACAACCACGCGATGTTTCACACAGAAACAACAGTATTAAAATAAGGAACATGAAACAAAACATGTTTCTAGTTTGTTCATTCAAATTTTACATACACATGTACTTTGTTTCACGAATAAGTATGTTAGACTTATGTAGAATATTTCACTGTTAACAGAACAAGTTAATGACATATTCCATTCCCATTGATGTAATTAATATGAATTATTGTTTTAAAGGAAGTCTGTGAAGTCTCATCAATAAAACCCAGAAAACTGGCTAATTATCTTCGATTTTATTTCATAGTTATTTATACAAGTCAATTTTTAGTGAACTGTCCTCTGTAGACTTACTTTCTGCCATAAAGAATCCGTCATGTTCTCCTTAAAAGCATATTCATATATTAATATTAAAACCAGTAAAATTCATTTGATATTTTGAAGCGTAATTTAAGCTTACGAATGAAACGATAAATATCAGGTAAATAAAATTGATAGTGTACTTGATAAAATTACCTTCTTCACAAACGTACCATGTTCAACTATTACTTCAAGATGACT